TGGTGGTGGTGGTGGTGGTGGTGGTGGTGGTGGTGGTGGTGGTGGAGGTGGAGGTGGTGGTGGTGGTGGTGGTGGTGGTGGTGGTGGTGGTGGTGGTGGTGGTGGTGGTGGTGGTGGTGGTGGTGGTGGTGGTGGTGGTGGTGGTGGTGGTGGTGGTAGTGGCGGTGGTGGTGGCGGTGGTGGAGGAGGAGGAGGAGGGCAAAGGAGGAGGGCGAAGGAGGGCGAAGGGGGAAGGGGGAGGGGCAAGGAGGACGGCGAGGAGGGACGGGCAGACGCAGGCGCAGGCCAGAGGAGCCAAGGGCCCGGACGCGCGCACGGCTCTGGGGCAGGTAGTAGTTCCGCGTGTTGAGGAACTTCCACCCCGCGTTGTATCCCAGCCTCTTGAGTGCCTCCATGACAAGGTCGACGGGGCGTATGCCTCGCTCTCCGTCTTCGTCAGCGTCAACGTCCTCGACCTCCACCCCGTCTTCTTCGTCGTCGACCTCCTCCTGCTCGTCCACCTCCACTCCCATCCCTCACCTCCTCCTCCTCCTCCTCCTCCTCCTCCTCCTGGACCTGGACCTGGACCTGGACCTGGACCTGTGGACTGTTCCGGCAGGTGCACGGGGGATTCTACCCCCCGCCCATAAGAAGCAGTTTAGACGGGCGAGGGGGCGGGGAGCGCGGGCCGCTGCGGCGTCAAAGTCGTAGACACAGAGGGGAGGGAGAGAGGTCTCGAATCGGCAAGGGGGGGGCCTTGACTCCCAAGCATGCGCGCATCTGCCCCCGTGCCGTTGGGCACGGAGTGGGTGTGTCCTCAGGTCATTTGCCCAATCCTCTGAGCCTCAGCCTCCATCCTCACCCCTGAGGAGTCATTACGGGGCCCAGAGCCCACATTGCCAAATCTCCTGGGGCTTGGCGCGGCTAGGCGCGGCTTGTCGCTTGACTTTTTCGGGGCCAAGAGGGCCCCAAGACGGGCCACCACAACCCTGGCACGGTGGCGGGAAGGGGCCATTGGATACACTCTCTTCGACCGCCCCGCAGCTCACGCGTTCACCGCCCAAGAATATGATCCCCTCTCCCCTGCCTTCGCTTCCCCGTCTGCACTGGGACGACTTGGTTTGTTCGTCCCGCCCCACGCGCCTGTCGCAGAGTCCAGGAGGGCGATGTTCTTCACATTCTCGAAGATTACGATCCTGGGGCGGTGGCGCAAGATGTAGTCGAGGCACCCCTGGAGACGGAGGCTTGCTAGCTCCGACGTGGCGATACCAAGGCGAATAATCATTCTGGATAAGTCAACTACACAAGTCTCGCCGGCGGGCTCTCCAGTCCGCTTGGCCCGCAGACTGCAGCAGTGCGCGAGCGGTGGCAATCAACACGCGGTGGCAACACGATCTGGTTCCACTCGTCCGTGTGGCACCCCGACCGCCCCAAAAGGCACCCCGGAAGACGGAGACTTGATTCAGAGTATCGTAAGCAGGGATTCTGCGATGATGGCGCACTTCCTGCGTCATGTCAGAGCCTCATGCCCGACAACACAGCGCAAGCATCCACGCAGTGGAGACGCCAGCCGTGCCAGCGCAGCCGAAGTCCTATCCAAACGTGATCATCAACGAATTCCTTCCCCCACAACTGACGTGCACCAATCGGGTCGCCGCCTACGGGGTGGGCAAGGGTGAACTGCACACCCGCGTTCAAGGGCGAGCTCTTTGAAACGGCCGTGTTATCATCGGTATGGCGCGGAAAAACATGATCGACCCACGAACCCAGAAAGGAATATAGAAATGTGAGGCATGGCAACGTGTTCAAGACACCTGATTGGACGACGGGCAATTGCAATTTTGAATGTATCGATCTTTATGTACCGTGCCAAAGGCTATGCTGTGCTGTGTCGTGCTGAATAGCGGTGTGCCATGCCGCGATTGTGCTCTATAGCGTTGTGGATCGAGTCATCCTTTGCATCCGAGTCCTGACCGAACTGATCTGGATCTTAAGCTCGAGCTGTCTGAGCACATAGTAGCTGCCCCAGAGCTTGTTGATGTGGAAACGCGCGGGACGTTCAATCAACTCGACCTGAAAATCCGACTCAACTCCGAAAAGGAACGACACGACACGGGGCACAGGCTCACGGACGCGCCACAGGATGTGCCAGGGCGCAATAGGGGATGCGCCAGGGGACGTGCCCTGGACGTGTCAGGAACCTGCCACGTGAAGTGTCCAGGCGCGTGCCATGGGGCAGCCAGAGGACGTCATGCCAAAGGACGTTGCAAGGGGCACGCTACGGAACGGGCAGAGGAAACGCCTGGGGACGAGCCAGGAAACGCGACAGAGGACGGGCCAGGGAACGTGCCACTCCGAATGGCGTGCTAGGGGGCGTGCCAGGGCACGTCACCCCAGAACGTCGCAAGGGACGCGCAAAGGGACGCGCCAACGCGCCACGGGACGCCCCACGGACGGGCGGGTACACTCTACTGCGACAAACGTTTCGCTCGAGATATCCTCAACACATAGACATCCGCTTGGGCGACCTGGACACGTGAAACCAAGCGTCTCGCTCGAGACATCCTCAGCACATCCTCATGTTATACATCCGCCTGGGCGACCTGGGCACGTGAAAACAAAGCGTCTCGCTCGAGACCTTATCACCTCCTCATGATAGACATCTGCCTGGGCAATCTGGACGCATGAAAACAAACGTTTCGCTCGAGACATCATTCCCAAATCCTCATGTTAGACATCCGCCTGGGCGACCTGGACACGTGAAACCAAGCGTCTCGCTCGAGGCGTTCTCATCACCTGCTAACCATCCGCCTGGGCGACCTGGACGCGTGAAAACAAGCGGTTCCCTCGAGACATCCGCAACACATCTTCATGCTAGAAGTCCTTTCGCTCAAGACCTTCTCGACACCTCCTCATGCTAGAAATCCGCCTGGGCGACCTGGACACGTGAAAGCTAGCGTCTCGTTTGAGACATCATCAACACATCTTTAGTTATCTTAGACATCCGCCTAATCCACCGCGGCAAGTGAAAACAAGCGTTTCGCTCGAGACGCTCTCAACACATCCTAGACATCCGCCTGGGCGACCTGGACACGTGAAACGAAGCGTCTCGTTCGAAACATCCTCAACAAATCCTCATGCTAGACATCTGCCTGGGTTACCTTGACGCGTGAAAACAAGCGTCCCACTCGAGACATCCTCAACTAATCTTCATGCTAGACATCTGCCTGGGTAACCTGGACATGTGAAACCAAGAGTCTCGCTCGAGACATCGTCAAGACCTGGGCACGCGAAAACAAGCATTTCACCTGAGACATCCTTTGAAATCTGGTCCCCAAGAGAGGAACAATATATTGCACAAAGCACGCGTTTCGTTCGAGACGTTCTCAACAAAATCTGCAAAACAAGCGTTTTGCTCGAGACATCCGCAACAAACGGACACGTTCACTTTACCATGTTTTTTCGCGATCGAAATTTCAGAAACCAGCGTTTCGCTCGGGACATCCTCAAATTTGCCATTCGCTGGCCCTACGCGACCACGTTATTTATCGCATAATAATTTCGCCTGCCCTGCGCAAGTCGACTCCGAGGGAACCCCTTAAAAAAGAGAACCCTGGACCCGCGCCCTTTCCAGAAAAAATGAGCTGCGCAAAAGCCGGGCGAGACAGGTTGACGAGAACGCAAGCATGCGCGTGCAGAGGGATGGAGGAGAGAAAGAAGTGGGCGGAAACCGAGACACGAGTCCCGATAACACACAAACATACACAGACACCTTGGTCGCATCGCGTCTGCGTCCTTCTCCCTCCGCTGACGCGCACCGACGTAAAGAAACACACACACACGCATATACACACACTCATAGACATATATACATATCACATACATACATACATACATACATACATACATACATACATACATACATACACACACACACATACATACATACATACATACATACAGACAGACAGACAGACAGACAGACAGACAGACAGACAGACAGACATAATCACATACATACATACCACGAGAGAGCGTGATCCACCGCCGCTTTACTGTGGAAAATTCACCCCCTCTTCCTCCGGAACCCGGGGGTGCCCCCCCTCCGAAAATCCCCCCCTGCTGGATTCCCCCCTTTCCCCCGGCAAAACCCCCCCCCTCCCCTAACCCCCCCCATCCAGAAAACCGGGGAGGGAGGGTCACTACCGGTTGGTTTGACCCCCGCCCCTCCGGGAAACCGGGGGGGGGGTCACTACCGGTTCGAACCCCTCCCCCCCCCCAGAAAACCGCGGGGGGGTCACTGCCGGTTCGAACCCCTCCCCCCCTCCTCCAGAAAACCGGAGGGGGGTCACTACAGGTTCGAACCCCTCCCCCCCACCCCACCCTCACCGGCAGCAAACGACTCCCGGGTCCCTACCACCGTCCACACCCCATCCCCCACAGCTGTCCCCAGCACCGCTGTCCTCACCACCACTGTCCCCACTGTTCCCACCACCGTCCCCACTGTCCCCACCAGTGCCCCCACTACTGTCCGCACGGTCCGCACTGTCCCCACCACTGTTCCCACCACGGTCCCACCCTCACCACATTCCCCACGGTCCCCACCACTGTCCCAGTGTCCCCACTGTCCCAATGTCCAACTCTCCCCGCCGCTGTCCCACTGAGCTGTCCCACTGTTACCACCACTGTCCCCACTGTCCCCACCACTGTCCCCACCATTGTCCCCACTGTACCTCTGTCCCATCGTCCCACCACCGTCCTCGCCACCGCCCTCACCACTGTCCGCACCACCACTGCACCCTCCACTGTCCCACTGTTCCCACCACGTTCCGACTGTCCCCACACCACTGTCCCCACCAGCGCCCCCACCACTGTCCCACTGTCCCCACTGTTCCCACCATTGTCCCCGCTGTCCCCACCAGTGCCCTCACCAGTGTCTCACTGTCCCCACTCTCCCCGCCATTGCCCCACCACGGTCCCACTTTCCCCATTTTCCCCACGGTCCCCACCACAGTCCCACTGTCCCCACTGTACCCACCACTGTCCGAGTGCCCCCGCCGCTGTCCCACTGTGCTGTCCCACCGTCCCCGCTGTCCCCACCACTGTCCCACCTTCACCACTTTTCCCACGACTTCACCCACTGTATTACTGTCCCACCAGTGTCCTCACCACCGCCTTCACCACTGTCCCCACCACTACAATCCCCACCAGTGTCCCACTGTCCCCACCACTGTCCCGTTGTCCCCTCGCCACTGTCCCCACCACCACCGTCCCCACGACTGTCCGCACCACTGTCCCACTGTCCCCGCACCACTGTCCCCACCACCACCGTTCCCACCACCGTCCCAGCATCCCCACCATTGTCCAACTGTCCCGAGGAGCGGGAAACGTATGCCAGCGGCGACGGGGAGGGGGGGGGGTCGACCAGGTAGTGACCCCCTTCGGTTTTCGAGGTGGGGAAGGGGGAGCTCGAACCGATAGTGACCCCCCCCCCTTTTCATTATGGACGGGGGGGAAGGGTTCGAACCGGCAGTGACCCCCCCCCCCCGGTTTTCGAAGGGGGGGGGTACGGGTCGGGAACCCTCAGTGACACCCCCCGGTTTTCCGCCAGCAGCGGTTGAACACGCTCATTCATCAGTGCGAAGGTGAGCGCGCGACTGCGGGCAGACGAGGGCGAAAGGGCTGAGATGAACGCACGAAGGGCGCCCCCCGCCCGCCACATGAAGAACGATGAAGAACTTTAGACCCATGGGACCGTCAAACGACGCGCGAACTGAGAGCGGAAACTGCTCGACGGTCAGCCAACGACAACGCCGCGACATCCAATGCGAACGGCGCGCTGCTGCCACGCTCATTGGCAGTCGAACTTGGCGCTTCCTTGCGCCAGCACGCGGTCCATGCCCAAAACCATTGTGGACATTCGCGCGCTCGTGCCAAGGCAAAAACCGATGAGCGCGTCGGCCCTTGGCGGCGTTGGCAAGAGCCCCACGCGGCGCCCAGGGCCCGCCCTGCACGGGCGCGCATCGAGAGTTTAGATCCACCCCAAAAACAAAGTTTACGCACCAGGCGAAAAAATGTACAAACTCCATATAAAATCCGTCTAAACTCTTCCGAAGCAGAAAGTCTCGCGCGGGAAAGCCCGAGCATGTTATATAAACAAGAAAACGTGTTTATAGAAACGCCCCAAAAAATGGCCCTGCTGCCTAAAAAGAAACACTCCCGATCTAAACT